TATAAGTAGGGTTATAAGTAGGGTAACTATAATTATAACCTATATTAGGGGACTTATAACTCCACTTATGACTACCCATGAACCTCCAAGTAGGGTTCGAAGCCTAAGAGCAAATTATATGTCCAAGCACAACGTTATACGGTGTGGCACAACGTGGTCAAGAGGCATGCTTTTCAAACGCGAACGAAAGTACAGTCTCCCACGCATATCACAGCATCGAAGAGTGTTTTGAGAGCAACAGACATCAAGATGCAGTCCAAGACGACCTTTTCGTACAGCATCGTCCTAGGCCCTAGGTGCTCAGTGTCAAACAGAAATAACAAGAACAGATGGAGTTACATCATATGCATATTATCCAAGAAATACATATGCACTTCTGCAACTACACATGTAGGCTTTTGCACCAGAAACCCTAACCTGGTTCTTTGTTGGGGCTATATTAAAAGTGATCATCTTTATCCTTATTGGGTTTTATTGTAACAACAATGTAAAGTTGCAGCCAACAAGGACCCAGTTACCCCGAAACCCCACCAGCCTTCTCGGTGGTCTCTGAGTTGGAGAGGGGGGCTGCTTGCCAGACACCATCTGCTCCATCAGCTTCCTCTGCTGGTCCGACAGCTCCTTGAACCTCAGCATTATGATGCTGACGATGATTGCTATTGGTGCTGTTACCATGGCCATAACAGCATCAGTCATCAATATCGGGATTCCAAATCTTTGGGTTCTAGTTTGCCACAAGCATGGTACTAGAACCGAGTTCCTTCCAGGGTGCCGCAGTGCCTGTTAGTGTAGTGCTGCTCATGCCAGCACTCTCAACTACGGAGATTCTGCCTTGTTCCTCAGTCTGAACAATGCCAAAACCAAAGCCCGCATTCCTGTCCAAGAGGCCGCTGCTCAAGAAAGTGCTCCAGACGTGTCTGAAGAAGGGCTTAGAAGCTAGAGCTCGTCCCGTGCTTTTCTCGGAGAAATGTTTTGGGGCTTTAGTGCGCCCGGAGATCTAGGGTTTAAGCTTGCTTTTCAAGACGTGTTTAGAGCTTTAGGGTGTGGGATTCAGTTTAAGCAAGTTAAACCAAAGCCCCGTGCCTCCAACACTGACCCGGCACCCCGAAACTTCAACCAATTCTGAATATCTGAAATCGCACTTACCAAAAACACCGTTCCAGAAGGCTCAGGGTTAACTTTAGGGTTTGCGCATTTAAGGCGCAACCTTTCGGAGTTTCGTGCCCAAGTTCGAATCGTTTCTAGGACTCTTGGGGTTTGGTTTCCAAGGTTCAGGATCTTGTGCTTCGGGGTTTTGGACACTCTAAATCTACATCCTATGTAATGTAAACCATTATGAAAACCATCTAAAACCCTCACCCTTACTTAAACCCTCTCGCAGTAGTGGTCCCCTTGAGGCTAGCCCTCTCGACTTTAATCTAAGAACCCTAGAGCCAAGAATACATGGACCTTCTACCAACAGTCAAACGGCAACGTCCGTATGGGTCCCCTGCGCCTCGAGGCCGCTCAAAAGCACCCGCATATCCAACTCCTCTGGCCTGAAGGTTTGGGCTTCGGGTTTAGGGTCTAGGGTTTAGGGTTTAGGGTTAAGGTTTGGGGTTGAGGGTTTGGCACTTGGGGTTTGGATTTGGGGATGGCTACAGGGGGAAGCTGGCTTTACGTGGCAGAATGTACATGGATTCTATGTGGCTTCATATGAGTCTTACAACAGGTTTGAGATGTTCTTAAGGTGGGCGCATTGGCTTTGGATGGATTTGCAAAAAAGGTTTTAAACACACCCTCGGTGCCCAGGATGCCTGCATCCCTTGTGCCTCCTACTTTTCTGCTTGCACAGTCGATGCGCACGCGACGAGCTAGCACGGTGTCATTGTGTCATCCGCGAGCAGCGAATCGGCGAATCCTCGAAACTAGTCCTCCAATGCACTGCGGAAACATCTTCGGTCGGCGCGCCACAGCTGCCGTCATCTCGTTCCACCGCAGCATGGTGGCGCCAAGAAAACGAATGCAGTAGGAACACTCCGAATGCTGCACGCACAACATCCTGCTCAGTGCATAAATGCATAATGTACGTGCTCTACATGTGCAAGAGAGAAACGGTTGTACTGCCAAGCCCAACCCAAGCCAGCACACCTGACACAGGGAAAGATAGCTGTTGCCTTAACGGCAGAATCCTCGTCCCTGAACATGCTATCCGGCACTTCTTGAGGATTTGGGGTTTGAGGTTTAATTACAAGAAAATCGGATGTGTCGGGTTTGGAGCGCCTCAGGTTTAGGTCTTAAGGTTTGGGCTGTAGGGCTCAGGGTTTAGGCGTTAAGACGGTGACACTCTCCTGGTTTTGCGAGGCAGTCTCGCCCACAGGGCTCCAAGTGAAAAAACAAGAGACTGTACCAAATCCCAGAACCCCGAACTGAAGAAACCTCAACCCCTCAGTCTTGTGGAACGTTTCTAGTAGAGCCTTCAAAACTTAAGGCAACCCTTCTTGGCCCTCCAGAACCTCACATCACCTCCTTACTTCAAGCCTAGTAATACTGTTGATGGACAAGCTCCTGCATGACCTTATATACCTAAACTATGGGATTTATGGTACTATACTGTATTTGGGTCATGCAGAATTTTGTCCATCAACCGTATAACCCGTACTAAACCCCCCCCATAGTCCGTGACGCTCTATCAACAAAATGTTTTACCCCGACTAAAACCCTACAGAAGCAGTAACCCTCAAGTACAAAAATGCTACAACCCCTAACCCCTAAACCCTACCCCTCAAACCCTAAACCCCAAAACCCACACTAAACCCTAAACCCTAAACCCTAAACCCCATACTCGAACCCTTAAGAGTCTGAGTTTCGGATCCTGAAACCCAGGCCTCGCCGGGTCGGAGCTGACGAGAGGCCGCTCCATGGCCGTTGAAAGCTTCAGCGGAAAGGGGGTGGGGTGGGGGGGGGGTCCGAAAAGACCCTAAACCCTAAACCCTAAACCCTAAACCCTAAACCCTAAACCCTAAACCTTAACCGGATAATCCCCTGGGCTCTGCTTCAAGGGATGTTCGGCCAGTTCGCGCGGAGCTCTGGCTTCCGATCTGCCGATCTTTACGCTTGTCTACTTGTCTTCTTCCGTCGGGCTAGTCGGGCTCTTCCTTCTTCTTCATCTACACTCTTGTAACAGAGTCATCCCTAAACCCTGAACCCTAAACCGTACTGGAAGTCCCCCCCCCCCCCAGTCTTGGGGCCTTTCCAAAGGGCATGCCACCATCCATCCCAGCTGAGGCGGGAAAAAAGGTGGCTGCAGGTTCGGCGATGGGCTGAAGCAGTTCAGGGTTTGTAAGCGAGGTCTTCCTGATGAGGTTTAAGACGACAGGTTGGGGTTTAGGGTTTAGGGTTTAGGGTTTAGGGTTTTGGGGTACAGTATACTATCATGTAACGTAGGGGCCTTCATAAGTAGAATAGGACTTTGGGGCCCAAGATACTACAATTATAGTAAGGAACCTCCAAAACCCTATTCGAACTATTAAGGCCGCTACATCAGTATTTTGGGGGGTCGGCCACTTTGGTATGCAGAACTTGGGGTGTAAAGTATATGGGTAGTTCTCTAAATTAGGGTTCCTTTTAGGGTGTTTTTTATAAGAGTGCCGTACTATATCGGGGATCCAAAAAGGGACCCTAATTTACAGCAGAACTACCCATATAGGGATTCCGGGTGGGTTTAAGCTTAAGTTAAACCCTGCACCGCAAATCCAAACGGAACCTCGCAGGTTCGAATTGGCACTGGGGGTTCGGGATTTTACAATCGCGGGGGCCTCCAGGAGGGTTTTGGTTTGGGCTTCCGGGCTGTGAGGGCCTTGAGGTTGTTGGATAAGCTTCGAACTCGAAGTAGGGTTTAGGGTTTAGGGTTTAATGTATGTAGGGTTTCATGTCTGGGTGTGCCGTGAGGTAGGGTCCGATCAACAGCACCTCTGACCTCAGGCATCAACCCCCAGAAACCCTGTGAGCCCAAAAAAAAAAGCCACCCCGGATCGCCAGAAAGCCTGCACCACAAGAAGACCGTCAGACCTGCAGTTGACCTCAAGATCTTGACTGCGGCGTCACCCTGAAACCCCTCCACCCCGAACCCTTGAACCCTGAAAGCTCTAAGGTCCCATGTATCGCACTGTGATTCGTTCTCTATCTATCTATCTATCTACCTACCTACCTACCTATCTATCTATCTATCTATATATCTATCTATCTATCTATCTATCTATCTATCTATCTATCTCTCTCTCTCTCTCTCTCTCTCTACACGCAACCCTCGATGCACTCGGGTGCCATGCATCAGCGAAGTTCTTCTTCAGCTCCGAGATCTTATTGTCTCGATTCTTCAGCTCCTCGTTCAGTCAGCGCAACCAAAAATCTTTAGACATCACCAGACGTGGCCAATGAGATCCATGCCTGGAAGCTTGTTGGAAGTTTCGGTGGGCTGAGCTGCTTGGAAAGAAGGAGTGCAGACAACATCAATTAGGGGCAACATGTTCTTTTTGCAAGGACCTGCCTGGAACCTAAACGCTGCCTCCGAGAGTCCTCAACGAACTTTTGCGTAGGGTTTAGGGCTTAGGGCCACTTGAGGTTTGGGGAGACCACCCCCCACGAGCCTCCAGCGCACTCATGTACTTCGTGTTCGCCATACAGCACCTCATGACTCAGGAACCCTAAACCCAAAACCCCACAGCCCTGAATCCTAAACCGTACAGCCCTAAGCCGTCAAGCCCTTGTATTTTCGGACCTGCTTGGCACTGCAGATGCCCTCAGCTTCTGCTGCGAGCGGGGCTTTACATGCATCTAACCTGCAGACGACGACGCAAAACCCGAACAACCGAAAACCCGAAAAGCCTGAAATACAAGCCATTTATCTTCTATCCCCGAAGCCGAAGCAGCTGATCCCTGAACCCTAATAGCCGCAACCCTAAACCCCAAAGCCTAACAGCTTACCTTACAGGAAGACACAGATTTTTCGACCCGGGCACTCAAGGCCGTACTTTTCGCGCGTCTTGTCCAGGCCGTAGGCCTGTTGTCAGAGGCCCGAACGCAGCTGCCCGCATTTGGCTTTTCATGGAGGCTTTTACAGAGGTGGCCTACAAGGATGGCGGTTTCATATCCGGGTTCTGTAATTGGGTGGTTTCAAGGGTTGGATGGATATTGAAGGATTTATGTAAATATGGGTTTCTACAAATGTGGAATGGTTGATGCTTCTACCATTCACTGAGTCCACGATGTTAGGTGGGCTGTTGCTACTTTCCCCTCTCTGCTCGTGCTGTTGCTTTCCAATGTGGCTGTCGACCTGAACCCTATACTTTCACGGTTTAGGGTTTAGGGTTTAGGGTTTAGGGTGCCTTTACAATCAGAGTGTTGCCGTTCTCTCGCTTCTTGTCCTTTGCATTATTTGCTCTAGTCTTCACTGTTCTGAGGTGTACTCATCTTTCCACAATTCTTGCAGTTCAGTCATTCAGATAGCTGGCTCCTTTAAAGTTCATGGATTCTGGCTGAACTTCGAGACAGACCCTAATCCCTGAACCAAGTGAGAAGGTCACGATTCTCGAGGGAAACAAGTAAACCGCAGAAAACCCGGGGTTTAGGGTTTAGGGTTTCGCAAACCCATAATCCGCCTTCTGGATGGCCTCCTGCACATCCAGCTTCACCTGAGCGGCTCAACATTCAGGGTTACGGGCTCAGGGCTTCTGATTCTCGTCAGGGTTTAGGGCCTTAGGGTTTGAGGAGTTTAAGGCTTCGGGCCGGGCAAATAGTCCTAAGTAAGAGCTTTGGGGTGTTGGGGCAGGGAGAAACTGTCAAACTTGTGTCTGCTAAGATCCAAAAAAAGAATTGTGCTTCTAACGCTTGTAAGTTTAGATTTGCGGGGTCACTTTCGGGCTTCGGGATCAGACACCGACTGCCGAGGAACGGCTCCAAATTCCAACTTCCCGAAGGTTATGACTATAGTTATCCTACTTTTAACCCCACTTATAACTTACAACTGCCGATGAACCTCCAAGTGCGTTTATGTCAACAGCAGTGTTTAGGGCGTCGGGCCAGTTTCGGACTTGAGGTTCAGGGTTTTGGGCTGAGGCTTCTGGCTTCAACTCATGTGACCGACAAGCGAGCGACACAGACAAGACTTTGGGTTTACGGCTTTTAAAGGGCCGTTGTCCGTCCGCATGGGTTGGAGTTCCGGGTTTAGGGTTTAGGGTGAGGGTGCTCCGCTTGCGGGGATAAGCCATAGGACGAACGCGAAGCAAACGAACCCCCGCCTTCTTCACGTCCGTCTCTAGCTGCGCTGCAGTTTCCTGGGCGATGGGCTGAGAAGTTAAGGTCTGGAACTACGGGAAGCAATTAGACACTGCTATTTCCGATTAGTGCTCCCTAGAGAGAAACGGCTGTTCTGAGCCGTGCCACGTCGTGGGTCTTGACCAGCTTGGTCTGATTCTTGGTCCGGTCGTCGCAGCCTTGGTGGCAAACGGAAGGGTTTAACGTTTAGGGTTTGGGGACCCTCTGATACCTTACACTCTTGAAGCCTTCAACCTAAACGTTGAACCCGTGGCGTGTGTATGTGTATGTGCATACCAGGGACCGGAACATGAGTAGTTCCATCTTCCACGTGTCCGACAACGGGTCCAAACAGCATCCCGAATAAGTATTCAATCAACGTGCCGTTGCCTTGCCGGCCGCGCCCTGCATGCCTTGGGATCCTTGATTTGCGGCTTCTGCGACATGGGTAGTTCTCTAAATTAGGGTCCCTTTTCAGGTCCCCAATATAGTACGGCACCCTTATAAAAAGGACCCTAAACGGGACCCTAATTTTGAGAACCGCCCACATGGAGCATAACAAAGTCCAGGAAACACGACCAACAGGCCTGACGCAGGCCCACGCCAGAGCCCGACTACTGGAGCCAAAACCCCCTGAAAGCACCGCTCCGCTCCTCCCCTCTCTGTGCGCCGGGCGGATCAGGGAGCGATTCAGAGACTCGCGATCCCGAAGAAGGTCCATGATCGTCTGCGTTGAAGGTTCAGGGTGCTAAGTCTGTCGGGGTCCATGATTTTGGTGAGGCTGGACCTTCACCTTCAAGGCTTTAGAGCTTGTGGGGCGGAGGTCGGAGGAGGGGTTATAGATTTGATTGTACTTCAACTCCGCCGTCTTGATACTCATGGTTTTGATGATCTGTGTTGGCAGTCTTATCATGTCGTTTCTAGTTGTGGTTATGGCATGTTGTTGCTGTTCTCCTCCCTCAGCAACCCCGAAAACCCGAACCCGAAACAAAAGAACCCTTACAACTACCCCCCGCCCCCGCTTGAAGCCTCATCGTAGCCCATATAGTAACGCCTTTATAATAGTGCCCATAGGCTCATAGCAATCATAGTAGTACCCCCTGGAAATTCTTCTGGAAAGTCTTTGAAAAATCTTCCTCCCGCAGCTCAAGCCGAGCCTTGCTGTCCGTCTCGGCCTGCTTCTTCAGCATGTCAATCTGGCGCCACGAGATTTTCTAGGTTTAGGGTTTAGGGTTTAGGGTTTGGGATTCAGAAGCCTTCATACCGGTATGAGGCCCTCAGAGAAGCCCGGCGGGAAGTTCTACAAGACTCCTTCTTTTCCTGAAGCCTACATGGAGGATCATGGGACTTAG